TGTGTGTGTGTGTGTGTGTGTGTGTGTGTGTGTGTGTGTGTGTGTGTTTTCACTCTCTCAATCACACCTACTGCTTCTGTGGCTCCAAAGCTGCTAGCTGAGGCTCAGAGTGAGTGGCCTGCCCACACTCACAGCCAGCTGCCAGTAGAGGGAAGAGATGGGGGAGGGCTGAAAAAAACTGAGCAGAGGCCTGGGGGTCCCCTACACCCTCTCAAGGCTGTAGGGCTTTGCAAGCTTGCTCTTGCTCCTCAGTTTCTCCATCTGCAAGTGCGCGCTGCAAGGACAGTATAGACTGGAGTGGCCAGAGCTTGCACGTGAGGAGTTGTAGCAGGGAGCCGAGCTCCTTTGCAATGACCCCCTTCCCCGCCCTCCACCCAGTTTCTCCATGCCCACTGAAGGCCTTCCTTTCAGAAGGAGAAGAGGCTCAGAGTCTGGCCACAAGCAGTCTGGACCCTCGAATGGCCCGCAGCCTACCCTCAGCCCAGCGGAACAAGGTGGGTGGCCTCCAGAAGCTGGGCACACTCTGTTCCCAAGGAGGCTTAGGCTGGCCCCTGTGACCTCTTGGACTTACAGAAACAATCAACCATTCTTCCTTCTTCTCCTTCAGTGTTGCTACTCATCCAGAGGCCCAGAGGGGAGGCCTCCGCTCCTCACAATGCCCAGCCCCATTATGTGGCCCAAGGGTAGTGCTCCAGACAAGCATTGGTTTTCATGGCCCACGTCAGGGTCTGCAGCATGTAAACATAGGTCATTTCACCCCCTGCCCAGGTTCAGGGGCATTTATTCACTCAGTAGGCAGTACGCCGGGCTTAGCCAGGCATAGCGATAGACTCCAGTGGTCTCATCCCTTGGGAGGCTGAGGAAGGAGTATTGACACAAGTTCAAGGCCAGCCTGGACTACATAGAAAGACTATAGGATCACAATTATCAGCATCATCACCATCATCGTCATCACTTTACAAGTGAGACAACTGACCCCTGGCCTTGAGGCAACTCGCTCACGTCACATAGCTAGTCACCGCAGAGCTGGCACTGCACAAAGCCTGACGCTGCAGAGAGCAATTCAAGTCCCATTGCCCACAGCCACAGGCCCAGCCTCCCGCCTGCTCCTTCAGGGTATTACAGTCGTGAGTCTTCAACACAATCCTCCCCAGCACAGTCCTCCCTGTGCACATACAGGAACACTGGGCTCAGAGAGTGTGCCAGCACGCACAGCTGCTCCAAGGCTGAGCCTGCCGCTCTGCCAAGCTGAGAATAAAAGTGTTCGCTGCTCAAATGCAGCTGAGGGCTGGCGGCGCAGTGAAGAGCGTGCACAAGGAGGCAGTGGGCTAGAGGAACTTAAAACCAGAAAAACTCGATCTTCCGGAAGCTTCCTGGATGGGCAGCCCCATGGACTCGGCTTTGCGTTTTCGGAGGCCGCCTGTGGTACTGCAGCTTTCCTCTCACTACCCAGGCTGCCCAGCGGTCTGTCTGTCAGAACCTCCAGGGGCAGGTCTGTCCAGGCTGTACGGCCATGTTGATGGAGGCTCTGGGAACATGCCATCTGAAGTCCACCCCAACGGAGCCCTGGGGAGCTGTCTCAGAAGTGCTACACAGTGAGGAGGGTTGGAGTGGGTGGAGGTGGCAGCTGAGGAGAACTCTCTGCCAGGCTGTTGGCACCACAGTCTGACTGGTTATGGCTAGTCTCCCCAGTAGGGCCTCTGAAGGTTAGAGTAGATCTGTCCTGGTGGCCTGATTCATGTGTGTGTGTGTGTGTGTGTGTGTGTCCTTGCCTCTACCTTGCTTGACAGGGTCCCTTGTTGACTACTTGATATCCCAGGCTAGCTGGCCTGTAAGAATCCAGAGGCTTCCATCTCTGCTGTGCACTCTATTGTATAAATGTAAAGAGCGACCACACCTGGCTTTATGAGCTCTTGGGATTCGAACTCAGGTCCTCACACTTGTATGGCAAGGGGTTTATCCACTGAGTCATTTCCCCAGACCCTCCTGGTGGCCTCTTGGCTCCCACTTCCAAGCACAGTCAAGTGCAGAATAGTGGAGAGGGTCAAAAGGGAGGAAGGCATGAAAGAGAGGCCAGGCCACTATTAGGCCCCCAGGCTTTAGACGCCAATTTACCAGAGATGTCCTATTTTCTGAGGGAATACCCATGAGCCATGAAGAGGTTCCCCTTGGAGGAGGGCAGACTGTGACCATGACACCCATGCCTGCCGTATATCCCCGTATATATATATATCGGGGCAAAATAACCCTGTGTATGTCCTCAGAGGAGCATGAACGGTGTTGAGTGTAGCACAGAACAGCAGCTCCCATTAAAAGTGGGGAGAGGGGCTGGAGAGATGGCTCAGTGGTTAAGAGCTCTCTCTGCTCTTCCAGAGGGCCTGAGTTCAATTCCCAGCAACCACATGGTGGCTCACAACCATCTACCCTCTACTACTCTCTTCTGGTCTACAGATGTGCATGCACACAGAGCATTTAAAATAAATAAAATCTTTAAAAAAAAAAAAAAAAGAAAGAAAGAAAGAAGGGAAGGAAGGAAGGAAGGAAGGAAGGAAGGAAGGAAGGAAGGAAGGAAGGAAGGAAGGAAGGAAGGAAGAAAAAAATCATTAAAAAAAAAGTGGGGAGAGCCTGGGAACAGGCAGTGGGCCAGGTGCTGCAGGCACCGAGCTCCCTGACTCTTGTGCCCAGCAGAGGCTAGAAGGGGCCTTGCCTCACCCTGTACCTAGTGAGCCAGGCCACAGAAACATGAGGTCTCCAGGGTCCCTCTGTCCCTACCAAAATACTACGAGCAGGTTAGCTGAGCTGTTCCTCACAGAGCCTTTCCCCCTGCTCCACAGGGAGCACATGATCATTCCACACTGTGGCTAGGGACACAGGCTCAAAGTGCCCAAGGCTTTGCCCAGAGCCTGAGAGTGGGAAATGCCACCACCTGAACACAAGAATGGGCCCATCAGCCAGCCGGGTGGCGGCAGCCCATGCCTTTAATCCCAGCACTTGGGAGGCAGAGGCAGGTGGAGCTCTGTGAGTTCAAGGACAGCCTGGTCTACAGATAACAAGTTCCAGGACAGCCAGGGCTACACAGAGAGACCCCAACTCCAAAAACAAAAAACAAAAACAAGCAACAACAACAACAACAAAAAAAAAGAATGAGCAAATCAGACCCCATGGGCACAGTCTCCCCTCGTGCATGGCTCCAGCTACCACATCCTAAACGCCAAGATTCTCCTTACAGCCTGAGGCTGGAGTCTCCCCCAGGAGACGGACCCGCAACCCCCATTCACCTGCATTCATCCAACCACCACCTTTACCTCAAGGATCCCATCAGGATGCTAATCCATTGCCCCTAGGTCATTCTCCATCTCCCCAAGGGGGCAGTGGCTGAGGTACAAGGTAAGCGTGGGCTGCCCCTCCCGAGCACTCCCTCACCCATCTCACATGCAGTCCACCACACAGCATCTTTTCAGCTTAATTTTATTTCCTCTTATAAATGGGCACAGCACAGGGAAATGTTAAAAACAAACAAACAAACAGAAAGAAAGAAAGAAAGAAAACAAAACAAACAGAAAACAAAACAAAGCAAGCCGTGTCCTTCCCAAGGCAGGGGTGAGCAAGCACCCATGGTGGGGTGGACCAGGCCTTGGTATCTTTAGCCGACTGTCTTTCCTCCATTTCATATTTAAGTTTTTGGCCATGAACTCAGGACAGGGAGGATTAATAAACAGGTTATAGGGAAAGAAAGGGTAGGAAGAGCCTGGGGAGGGGAGAAAGCCCCCATTCCTGGTGGACCAGGGGCGGGGAGGGCTCTGTACAGGAGAGAGGATGAACCAGTTTTGGGGGACACTGTCTCAGGGGGCTCTCTGGAGCCACACTGTTCTACGAAAAGTATTTACATGCATTCACCAAGCCGGGGCCAGGCACACCCAAGGACCCAGAGGACACCTGGGGGAAGCCAGGCCATCAGCCCCTCAGATGGTGACTCCAGGGCCCAGGTTGGGCCTCTCTGTGGATCTGTACAGTGTGGGCTTCTATTTACAGACACCAAGACTGGGGCGGCACATCCCAAGGAAAAGCCAGGAGAGCCCAGGCAGCCACCCCTGCCCTGAAAGCAACGTTGGCTCTGCTCTGTGTGGTGTGAGCACCAGCCTGGAGGCCTGGTGGATAACTAAGCCAAGCCCAGGGGGTCTGGCCCCAGCATCCTAAGCTCTTGTTTGCAGGCCCTGCTCAGCCAGTCCCGGCTGTCACCCACATGCCTCCTCTGGCAATCGAAGGGGATCAACCTTGCACATACAGTCCCTAGTCTGGCCCCCCAAGAGAGATAAAGTCTAACTCTGAAGCTCTCTAGCCCCAGCATGTCTTACTTCTCTTGAGAAACCAGGGCCTGAAGAGTTCTAAGACACATCAACTCCTTTCATTCAGAATGCACTGTGCTTTCCAGGCATGCCGGCCTTCAGAACGCCGTCCCGGGAGCACTGAGGTGTCTCTGGACTGTTTGGGCAGGCTCTGCACGTACCGCACTGTTTCTGGGGCAGGGTAAGGGACCCTGCACCCACATTGCACTAGGAAAAGTTCAGTTCACCCTTGGAACTGAGCTCTTTTAAATCGTCCTGGCCTCATCAGGCTGGCCCAGTGTTCCTGGACTGCCCATGCCGTTAACCTTCAGGTCAAACTCCATGAGCATAAAGCCTAGACCTTGGCCTCGGGGCCTGAGTCCCATACATATGGCCCATGGCCTCTCCTCTCAATTGCTGAGGACCCAGAAAAGGAGTGCTGGTACCAGGGGGCCAAACCCACAGCCCCAAGGTCAGAGCCACCCTGAGATGGGAGAAGTAGATTCTAGCCCAGCAACAGAAGCTGGGGGCTCCTGCCCTGGTCTCTGGTGTCCGTCCTCATTGGACTGAGCACTTGGAGGCTGCCTCCCCCAGCTCCCAAGCCTCCTCACCAAAGCTCCAGTCCCCAAGATAGCAGCCCACCAGAGGAGAGGGGGAGGGCAGGCACACAGGCTCTCACCTCCTCCCACCTCCTCCCTAACCAGCTCACCCACTTCAGGGAAGACCCCGGCCAAGCTCCCTCCTCCAGGTCTCCTGAGCCTTAGGACTCCTCTCCTTCCTTCCCCACCTCAAAGTCTGGGCCCACTGGCTTCCTTACAAAACTCTAAACCCTACCAAGGGAGTCATGGGGTCTGGAAGACAAAACAGAGCCTGATAGTGGTACCCCTCCCACCTTAGAAAGACAAGCTGTGCCAATTGCCTAGATCCTGCCTCCGTTGCCCAGATGTGTGCGGGTCCTCATTCTTCCCAAGTCTGCTGTTAGGGAATCTTTAAAATGAAACAGAAAAAAACCAGGCCGGTCCACCTGACTGGACCTGGAGCATGTGTGAGAGATGGGGTGGGGTGCCGGCCAGTCGCAACCTATGCTGTGTCCCTTTGGTGCTGAAAGCTCCGGTGGCACACACCCCTTTCCCAAAAAGAGAATGGTGATCCCACATTTAAAATAGTTGTGAAATAGTTCCCACTCCCAAGGGTAACAAAGACAGGAAGGTAGACTTGAGGCCTGTGGCACGCCTGTCCCCATTAACTGCTCTCAGGGCCTTACGGCATTGGGATGAGGCCGCTGGTCTGTGGGTCCATCCGATTGTAGCCAGAACTGCCAAGCTGCCTGGTCAGTTGTGTCCACAGAGGGGACCCCGGGGTGGGTAGGCTTGAGGTTGGCCTCGCCAGGCCAGGGCAGGGGACACAGAGGGCCTGGGCGGAGGCCCGCCCTCACAGGCACTTTGGAGACTGTGTCCTGGGAGGCAGACACAACTCCTGGCTCAGAGCAGAAAGGAGATACATGGAGACCAGGGACAACCCACACAGCTCATTGGTCCTGGGAGACTTTAACTCCCTCCCCGACCTTCAGCCTAGCTTGGGGCATCAACCCTTCTTCCTTCAGACTTGGCTGGCAGAGGCTAGCCCCAAACCTCCTCTCTGTGAACCACTGTGGGGAAGGAGAGACTGCATCTGTGTGGGATTGTGTCTGACATCAGCTGGGATTATCATCTATGCGGCTGGTGTAGGTGTCATGGCGGGGACCAAGTGGAACAGGGTGACTCTGGGGGACCCAATATGGGCTGATGCCTACAACTCTGTCCTGCCTTCCTCAGTGACCCAGATGGTTCGAGGAGCCAGGCGCAGGACCAAAGTATGTGTGTAAAGAAATAAAGTGGGAGGAAGGTGGCACGGCCACCATTGGCGATGATGACAGTGGCCTGCATGGCGGAAGCATCAGGGCGTCTGAGCACTATGTGAAGGAGGGGTGTGTGTGTGTGTGTGTGTGTGTGTGTGTGTGTGTGTGTGTGTGTGTGACATCTCACTGGCTGGGTAATAGGGACTGAGTATGTTTTTGTCTCCTGCGTGAACAGCATTACAGGATTATAGCAGTGGCTGACAGAGGCAATGCGGCATCCCCTCTCGGGAGGGACACTAGGGTCGCCTCCCTCACCGCTGGCTGGCTGCCCTGTGCACTGAGGAAGCCCTTTCCCTGGGAGGCAATGCAGAAAGCGGTGCAGCCTGGGGACATGTGCATTGGGCGGGGGAGAGAGAACGGTGACCCCATAGCAAGCTCAGGCTGGTGACAGAGGACACCCTCCTGCTGAGAGAGGCCTTGGGACAGCAGCTCGAGGCTGCCACATCTGGATGATATGGAAGTGGGTGGGGGCTAGATGTGCCACGTGTTGGTCCTGGAAGCCAGCGTGATGGCCTCTGTAGCAAGAAGAGGACATCAGCAGGCACTGTGGGCCATCTCAGTCCTGCCCTGGCCCCTATTTCTACCAGCAACCCGGGGCTTCCTTCCTCTTGTCCATGGGACACAAGATCCTGAAGCCCCAGGCTGGAGGGAGTGAGACTAGAGAAGGGCTCTTAAGAGCACAGTCTGGGACAGATGGCGGCGCCCCTGCTCCTTAGGACTATCTGTTATTCTGGCAGCCTGAGCAGAAGGAAGCAGGGTCAGGCTCCTCCCCAGGCCCAGGCCTGGGCTGTTGTGGCAGGGACCGGGCAAGGCGGCGGCGTCGAGGCTGCTGGAGGCATGAAGGCTCTGCTAAGCGTAGAACTCCTCCTGTTTGTCAGGTTTCTGGTACGTGACGCTCGCCTGCTTGGGCTCCTCCAAGGTGTAGCTGCCCTCGTCTTTCTTCTTCATGCGGTAGATGAGCAGCGTGACCAGGAAGGCAGCGAAGAGGGCGCCCACCACCCCACCCACAATCACGGCTGTGGAGAAAGAGACAGAGGTCAAGGCCCAGGGGCAGCTGTGAGGGAGTGGGAGTGAGCAGACGAGGGATCATGGACCCGGTGTGTCAGAGACACAGTGAAGGTGAGGACAGTACTGGCGACACCTATTTCCAACGCCTTCCCGATGGCTCAACACAGGCTGGTCAAACCATCCCTGGGATGGAGGCAGGTGTCCTGGTCCTTGTCAGGGTCAAACACCATCCACAACCAGAGGCTCCACTGCCTTATTAGGAAAGGAAGTCCCCTCCCCCACGCTGCCAGAACTGCCACACCACCCACCACCGTCTCCACGAGGAGTTGGGAACCCTAATAAAAAGTCAATTTGAGCCAAGCAGGGTAAGCCTTTGAGGACCTTGGGTCAAGGTTGGGTCAAAAGTCAAGCCAATAGACAGGTCAGTAATCAGCACCTAGGAAGGTCCCAACAGCGTCAGTTGGGGTGACCCCAAGAAGCAGGGGTCTAAAGTCAGAGGCTAAGGAGAGGTCAGAGGGTAGAAAGAAAGCTCTAGAGAGAGAGAGAAACAGATTCCACAGGGGAATGGAGAGGCAGATGGAGAGAGGAATGGAAGGATATGTTCAGGGGGTAAAGCCCCTGATCTCCCATGCCATGCCCACGTCACGCCCTGGAGCCTGGCCTCACCTACAAGCACCTCCTTCCGTTCAAGTATGCTCTTCTGAGGGAGCTGAGCGGCCGAGCTGCCCGAGTCGATGGCATTGTCATGGAGCCCAGGGCCTGGGCGGGCACCCTTGGGCAGTGTCCCCAGTGGAGGTGAGGGCTTGGCCGCGGCTCCTCCCACAGCCACCACTTCATTGGCTGTGTCAGGCTGTGTGGTCTCTTCCTGCAGCTCAAAGTCCCCGCTGGGGCCCCCACTCACTGGCACCTCTGGCTCATCCCGGACCACCGTGGTCAGAAGGGACTCTGGAGTCGGGGTCTGCAGGAAGGGTAGGATGAGCTGGGGTTAAGACGGAGTACTCCGTATACACAGCCTCCACGGCGCCTCCACCAGGTCGGACCAGCCCTGGCCCTGCTTAGTCCCCAGTGCACCCACAGCACTGTTCCCCACGGAGAAAGGGTTAGTGGTAAGCAAGCCTAGAGAGCTGTGTGGCTTCCTCGAGAACACTCAGCTAACCCACGGCGGAAGTAAACCGAAATCTAGACCGGTCTGATTCCAGAATCTGTGCTTCCAATTACAGGACCTGATATTTGCTGTTCTCATCCTGGCCACATCCTGTCCCCATCCTGTCCCCATGACTTCCTCTCCAGCTGCCTCAGAACAATCTTTGGTCGATTCCTGCCCAGGAGAGGGAGTCGTCTGGAGGGACTGCTAGGCGTGGCTCTGTCCTCACACATAAGTAAGGCCCTTCACCTGGAAGCCCGTCCGTGAGCAAACTTGTGCTATAGGAGCTGGTAATCCCAAACCGACCTGGTGACGAGCCCCGCACAGCTCCTCACTGCACAGAGAGAGCAGCTGGGGGCTGAGGGGCCGAAGCTGCTGTGGGAGCTGCTGTGGGAGGGATGAGGGCAAGAAACACAGCTGCTTCATGAGGCTGTGGTGGGGGTGGAACTGAGTCTGTCAAGGACAGGCCCCACAGAGGCAGGGCTACACCTGCTTCTGATTCTGGGCTCCACGCCTCGCTATTGTTCCCCCTTCCTGTGAGCCCCCCTTCTGAGGGAAATCCTTGAACCTGTGTCCTATGGAACTGTCTGAGGCCTAAAAGCGATTGCAGGGTTTAAAGGGCAACTCCACGGCCCCAGGGGCCCTGCCAGGTGGATGGCAGGGCGTTTTGTGGCTCTCTGGCGTCACCATGTCCCTTTCCAGCCTGGTACACACACACTATTTTCCCAGACAGGGGCTCACGTAGCTCAAGCTGACCTAGAACTGACAACCTAGGGAAGGACAGCTTTAAACTTCTGATCCTCTTGCCTCCTCCTGGTGCTGGAATCACGGGTGTGCACCACCACACCGGCTTTCCTAAGCACACTCATGGAGCACAAGCATAGGACAGGTGGCAGTTTTCTGGTCTCTCTCTCTTCCCCATGACCCCCATCATGCTCTTCCCTTCAGTCCCCTGGCCTTCCCAGCCTAAGCCTGGCCCTGGAGACTGGCCAGCCCCAGGACCCCTCAGCTTCAGGAGCCCCCATCTTCAGGATCCCCCTTCCCCCCCACCAGAATTTGAAACCTGATTCACCTACTACCCGAGGAACCTAGAAAAATGGCTCCCTCCACCTCACCTGTAAAAAGAAGTGATCACATCAGGATGATGGGAGAATATGGGAGTGGCAAAAGTACTCAGGCAGAGTGCCTTGCACTCGCCATAGCACCCACATAGTCACCCTCAGGCCGTGATGATGACATGACAACCATGGCGAAAACGACAGTGACGAGAGCTGAGCAGCCAGGTGTGTTTACTGTGCCAGAATTCTAAGTACTGGAAACAGTCAGGAAGCACCGTTTGCAGACAATGACAGGCCTCTTTCCCTGTCTCTCTGTCTCTGTCCGTCCCTCCGAAACGGTTTTACTGTGTAGCAGGCTGACCTGAACTTGCAGCAATTTCTCCTGCCTCAGCTTCCCCAGGGCTAGGATTACGGGGGTGTGTGCCTTCTCTGGTCTTCCCTCACAGATAAAGAAGTGAAGGCACGGAAAGGACCAACCACCAGCTAAAGTCTTAAGACTAAAAAGAAAAAAAAGATGACAGAAGGCTTAAATCCAGGCTGACAACCTCGTTTGTTTGTTTCTTTGTTTTGTTTTTCAAAACGGGGTTTCTCTGTGTAACCCTGACTGTTCAAAAACTCTCTCAGTAGACCAGTCTGGACTCAGATTTGAAGACCTGCTGCTTCTGTCTCCCAAGAGCTTGGATTAAAGGCATATGCCCCCACCACCCAGGGACAACCTCTTCTATTCTTTCCTTTTCTTTGTTTCATTTTTGTTGTTTTGTTTTGCTTTGGAGATAGGGTCTAGCTCTGGCTGTCCTGGGAACTCACTCTGTAGACCAAGCTATCCTTGAACTCACAGAGATCCGCCTGCGTCTGCCTCAAGAGTGCTGGGATTAAAAGAGTGTACCACCATGCCCAGCTGGTTAACAATCTTTTACTGTCGCTCTTGACATGACCTCTCAGCCAGGCTCACCCATCATTTCCCAAATCCACCTAATTGGTGTCTTGGCTCAACAGCAACCACAACCCAGGCGCCCTGGCTCTCTGACCTCCCCCTATCCCAACCAGAGGCTCTCACCCAGCAAGCTCACCAAGGCTCCCCCTTGCCTGGCTCATCTCCTGGCACCTTTTGGTCCCTGCCCAACCCACCTCGATCCACTCTGTATTAACTAGCACCCTCTCCCATTTTCCTCACCTGAGCCACCTCCGTGGGTCCAGGAGCAGTGGTCCCCAATGGCAGGGTACTCCTCTCAGTGACGTCAGGCTCCTGGGTGGTGACTGGCCGAGGAAGGGCTCGTGGCCGCGAGGTAGCTGTGTTGACCAGCCTAGGCGTCGGGGCCTCCGTGTCCAAGGTAGCCACAGTAGTGGGCGGTGAGGGTGCTGCTGGGGTAGTGGCCTGGGCTGTAGCAGCCGTGGTCATGGGGAGAGGCAGCAGGCCCTGGATGCCGGTGGCCCTTACGTCAGCAGTGGTGGCCATGGCAGGAGGTGCTGCAGGAGTGCTAGGGACCGTGGTGGCTGCTGTGGCAGGTGCTGTGGCCATAGTAGGGGCCCCTGCGGTGGTGGCGGCAGTGGTAGGTGTGGTGGTGGATGTGGTGGCGGCCCTCTGGCTGGGCTCTTCCAGGATTTCTGTCACCTCTGTCACCAGCGGGGGACTGGTAACTGGTTCGGGGCTTGGGTGCTCAGAAAGGAGCTCCTCAAATGGGGTATCCACGGGCTGGACAGCGGTTGTGGGCACCACGGCAGGTGCCGTGGGCGCAGCCAGTGCCATGTCGGGGACGAACTGCAAGGCAGTCTCAAGGCCGGACTCCTGCTCGAAGTCTGTAGGGGCGGGGAGAGCGAGAGCCCTGGGGAGTGGCTGCTCCTCCCCGCCAGATCCCCCAGCAGGCACTGCCTTCCCAGCAGCCCACCCCACCTCTCCAACCAATTTCCCCAGGAAAACAAGAGAGAAAGGAGGAGGTTTGGCCAGGTGAGCTAGCCCGTGCCTAGCCAAAATCCTTGAGGGGGCCATTGCTCCCAGGCAGTCTGCCCTGCCTCTGACATCCCATCCTTCCTGAGTCCTAGCACCTGGTGACTGAAGCCTCTGTCTGGAATCCACTCAGGGCTACAGGAGAGCGAGGTCTGGCCTCTTGGGAAGGGCCAGACCCAAGGACATGTCCTGCACAGACTCAAGGTGGTGGGTGGTGACCCCGAGTCAACCCACCTCCCAGACATGAGCAGAGCACCAGAGGGGTGAGGCCTTCTTGCAGAGGACTTCCCAGGCCACATAGGTGACTCAGGGAGAGAAGGAACGTGTAGGGAAGAGATGGGGGAATGAGGAGATGTGAGAGGCTACGGGAAGCCTGGCTCATTGAGGGCTTGAGTCGGCAGAATGTGAGCCGGGAAGTGACACTTTAGAGGATGGCACCAGGTTAGTGAAGCCCTTAAGCAGACCCTGGAGGGAGACTAGACACAGCTGGAGCAGCTGAGGCGTATGAGCCTGGGACAGTCTGGTCATAGACCCATCCCCTGGCTGGACCCATCTCAGCACGCTCTCTCAGTGACCGATTCCAAGGCCGCACTGACTTCCTGTCCCCACCTCTCAGGGCCTAGGAGAGGAAGGTCAGTTTCTCAGCCGATAGGAACACGGGGGCTGCTAGGGGTCAGAAGTCACTCAGCTTCCTGGACACAAGGCTGGGGACAGAGCTCTTGGATCTACCATCACCCTCAAGACAGACCCAGTAACCCAATCCCAGACCCCTGAAGCTCTCTGTGGCCCTACCCTCACCCTGAGCTTGGCCTCTGCTGATGGACCCAAGGGGCCTGCTCCAGAGGCCATCCCTGCTGAGGATTTCCCATGGTCCACACACCTAATTGGTGCCGAGCTGGGAACACTGAGTCACTGAGTAGCTATGTTTCTTCAACCGGCCACGGCAGGCCCAGGCTGCACACACAGGCCCAGGGACAAGAGTCCTGGGCTCCGGAGGCCTCCCTAGTCTACTCCCTGCCGGAAGGAAGCTCTGCCCTCCTCCTTCTTAGGGTCTCGATCTCCATTCAGTGACAGGACTCACACAAGTGACCTTAAAAGCTCCTGGGCTGGTGCGAGACACGAGAGGCAGGCAGGGAGACTTAGGGATTACTTACAGCCAGAGCCCGACCCGGAGTAGAGGTAATCCAGTTCATCGTCAGGAAATGAGTCGTCATCTCCCGAACCCTCAAGGTCCACCGGCCTCTCGAAGTTCTCACTGCGCCAGCGTTGAGCCTAGGAGGGTGCAGACACACGCAGGGCTAGGCACCCAGGGCAAACAAGCCTATACAGGCCCAAGAGACAGCAGGCGCGTTCACGGCAGAGTGACCCATCTGTGCTACAGAGAGCTGGGCATAGGCAGGTGGCCACTTCCCCGCCTACCAAAGGCCATGGTAGCAGTGCTCTCTCCCTTACCTTCAGGTTGCCACTAGGGACCACTCCTCCCCCCACCTCCACCCCCGTAGCGATGGGAACCCCTACATTCCAGCAGGGCTCAGAGCACACAGTGAGGAGTCTGGAACCAAGTCAGGTTGCTTGCAAACACGGCAGGTTAGCTTCCTCATAGGCACACGCAGACTCAACGCAGGCCCACTGTCAGTCACCTCTGTGTGAACAGCACCCACCCCACGGACATCCTCAAGATGGGTGATTTCAGGTAGCAGGGACCAGCCCAACTCACAGGTGAGAAAACCGAGGTCCACTGCCCAGGGAGCTGGCAGTGAAATGAGGTTTGGGATCCCAATGTCACTGCAAACCGCCAAAGGCAGGAAGGTAGTTCTATAAGACAGACGTGGGTGCTGGGGAGGCCGAGGGCCCAGGAGAGATGCGCTAGAGCAGGCAGGGAAAGCAGAAGAGCACTGTCCGTGCTGAGCCAGCCCTGATGCTTCCCCTAACGCAATGTAAGCTCCCGCCTGGCCTACCCCACAGGATCTGAAGGCCCAGGATCAGCACGGGCTCCAGCAGACTTCCACTTCCAGGGGTCCCCAGGCCTAGGAACCCTTCAGAGTCAGAACGTGGGAAGCCTCGAGCTGGGGGCACCGGCTCTAATTTATAAGCCCTCAGCTGGAACTAGCACTGAATGTAGATGTAAGTGGCCTGGATGCGCTGTGTACACTTCTTGCGATCCCCACCCTCGGAGCTTTGCGGGGAAGCTCCCGGGGTTAGGGTTTCAGGTCCAGGCCAGTTACATCTTACAGCTGAAATCCAGAAAGAAAGGCACCATAGGTGAGGGAAACTGAATACCTCCCGGGGCTGGTCAATGCCGCCGCCTCCCTAGGGCTGGCCCAGCCTGCCCTGCAGGTGTGCTGGCACCCTCCACAGCCCCTGGTCCCCCGTCTCAGTCGTGCTGGTCACTCTGCCTACCTCACCCATCCAATGCCCACCTCCTTCTTTTGAAGGGCATCCCACGCTCCTGATGCTTATGAGCAGTTTTGCTGTTTGGGGGCTGTTCCCGTTCACCATCTAGGAACGAGGTGCTCTGTGAAGAGGGCCAGCCTCGTCTAGCAAGGTTCCTGGCACTGAGGAGGCTAAGGATGACAGATCTGAAGTTAGGAGACATGTTTATCTCCTGCGGATGGCTAGAGGTGGGATGCAAAACCACCAGGCTGGTCACGGAGGACCCAGTGCCCAGGGGCTGGATTTCTCTTGGAAATAAGTTCTTTTCCAGAGCAGTTGCACATGAGAATGAAAGCTGATTCCACCGATCAGGTAGTGCCTGGGCATCGGCTCCGGCTGGCAGTGGGGAACGATGGAAGAAGTGTGAGCAGGGGAGTCACTAGTCAGTAGACTGGCACAGGACTAGATTTACACTCGGCCTCTCACACCCCTGCCACTCACGGGCCCTGCTAGAGTTCATGCAGAGCCAAAGAGAGACTCTTAGTCCTGGCTTCCTGCCCCCAGCCCCCAGCACCTGCTCTAGAGCCCCAGCCAAGCCAGCCAGGGCAGGGAGCCAGGAGGTACTCCTCATACAAAACACGCATGCATGCGAGAGCGCGCGCGCGCGCACACACACACACACACACACACACACACGTCTGGAATAATGAATTAATCAGTATTTACTTTCTACCCGTGAGTCACGGGATGAAACAATTAGTGTAATTGCCCCCGTGACTAATCACTGGGTCTTCCTCCTTTGTAGACATCCTAGGAGCCCAGAGCAAGCCCATCACCACCCACCAGCTCCCAGCTCTGCCCAGCCCACACTCCCCAGGTTCTGGGCTTCGGGAGCCACACACATTTACCAGCTAGAGTCCCTTGGGGGCGTTGGACATCTGTCCCTCTCATTGTCCAGCCAGTAACCTAATGTCACACAGCACTAAGCAGGGATCTCTTTCTTTCCTTTGAGGCAGGCTTAGAAAGGAAGATTCTAAGAGATCTGTCATTCCACAGACCCCAAAATAAGGGTTAACACAGGAGCCAAAATGGGGGACTCCTCAAGGTTCCTCAGTGGCCAAAAAGGGCTTGCATGAATCTAGAGACAGCTTTAAAGCCACAGAGACCCTGCAGGTGACACAGCCAGAGACACAGACACGCACCAACACACACTCACCTCCAATCAGCATCGAAGGCAGTATACTGGCATGCCTTTGGGGGCATGCGAGAGAAGTTGGGGTGGGGTGTTCTGTGCAGCTCTGAGCTTAGAAAGGAGCATATAGCCTCTCATGAACCCATCAGCCAGCCACTCAGGTAGCACTCACCTAGATACTATTCATCCTGGCTCAGTAGCCATTGACATGACAACGGTTGCCGTGACAACCACATTCTCCATGCTAAGGACCAGGAGCTGCTCCCCACAGAGCTGGAGAGTGTGGGAGAGGGAGATGGTGAAGGATCAGAGGACAGCAGGGATGGAGAGGGGGAAGGCCATAGCAGGCAGGGCTGGGGAGAAGGGGAGGTGAGAATGCTGGGGAGGGGAAAAATTCTCACATCTCAATTTAGCCTCACACTCATCAGGGGCTGCCGGGGAGAGGCAATCTCAGCGATTTCCTGAACATGCCTCCAGTGGGAGGGCAGCCAATAGCCCGGTAACCCTGAGGTCACCCTGTGCTTCTGAGGAGGAGGAGGCCTGCAGGAACTCTAGGGCTGCTGGTAGCTCAGCTCCCGGGGGACAGCCGAAAAAGTGACGAGGTGACAACCTTCAAGCAGCAGTGGAGAAAGCCTTAAATGTCACAAACTGAGGAGGGGAGCAAAAACAGCATCTCACCCCTGAACGGCATCTGCCTCTGCCTAACTTCACACACAATGAGCACAATTGTCCGTGTCACCCCCTGAAAGAATAGAGCCCCAGTGCCCTGGACCCTGTTGGCCTTTCTGCCTGGCCCTTCCCATTGCTCTCCACAGAGGCAGCCTACAGCCCCTGTGACTGAGCAGCCTGCAGACACCCATGCCCCAGCAAGCGGCTGAGAGGAGATACAGCCCAACATACGCATGCACAAACTACACACCCCAATGTGCCCCCATGATACACACATGCCCAAGTACACACACAAGTATACAGTCCTTTGGACACACACTCAAGTACACACACACACACACACACACACACACACAGGCACACACACACAGGTGTATACACACCCCAACACATACACGAACATACACCCCAGCAGACATATATACCCCAATGGACACACACCCTTCAACAGACGCCCTTATACACACATGCACACATAAACCCCAGTACACACGTACACTTGTGTACACACACACACCTGTACACACACTCCTTCACACAACCCAATGGACACAGCCTAAGGGCAGTATTGACAGACCTCAGTGCCCATGCCCAGTAGTGTGAATGTCAGCACACACCAGTCCCACCCATGCCCATGCCTTAGGGGACTCCTGAACAAATGACTCACCCCTACAGCTGCCCCACACAAACCTCAGCAGACTCGGGGCCATATGTGTCACAGCTCACCTCCATGACCAATATGGCTGCTGTGTGTGCAGACGAGCTCCCTAGGCCACAGGGCGCTCCTACGTGCTGTACTGCCAGCTCCATTCAAGCCCAAACATCAGACCTTGAGTCCATCCCTTCAGGCTCGCACCCCAAGCCACCACCCGCCCTGGTCCAGCACACACCGTGAGAGGGAGTACCCTTGACATGTTTGCTGCCTGGTGAAGGTGAAAAGCCAGTTTCTGCCACTGGGGACCTGGGGACCAGGCCATCATCATCACGGTCCCCCCCTGTTGGAGGGGAGAGGTTCTTATCCTCTGTCTACAGAGTCCGACAGCAAAGCTGGCCTACCACCAAGGCATGAGAGCCACCCTCATCCCGAGCCTTTCTCTCTGAGTGTTCCAGGGCCACCCCGTGTTCAGCCAGGACCCAGGGTTCCTACGGACGTGACCAGCACCATTTGCCCAGCCTGACACCCACCCCAGCACTCAGCCCCTACCTGTGCTTGCAGCACCACCTGCTCTCCAAGCTCGGCTTCAGCACACACGCCCTCCCCGTGGATGCCACAGCAGGCCCCTCCAGCCTCCCAGGGACCCAACCTCGAGACTGCACAAACTCACGTGTGCATGTGCCTCCCTCATCATCACCTTCTGGAGCTGACCCACAGCCTCAGCCCACAGAGACATACCCAGACCCCTCCCCAGGGATGTGAGGAATCTGACCCTGTGGTAAGCAGCCTCCCCTAGCCCGTCCATTCACAGGCCCTTCTCCCTAGTGCCACAGCAGCTGTGGAGATTACTGGGCTCCTGCAGGCCGCCCCATCTCCGCAGACTCCCCGGCCAGGACCAAGCTAGATGAGGCCTCATGTCAGACATGTCACCTCAGTCCACAGAAGCCACTGACCATGGCTCTGAGACACCGACATAGTCCCAAGGGACCCTCTCCACCTCTTTCCCCACCAGAACCTTCTAGAGAGACAGGGCAGTGCAGGGGCCGGTCCCTTGGTTTCTCCTCCGTGACATAAGATGGTGAGAGCAGGCATCTTGAGCCACTGGGAGGGGTGGCCAGGACCTGGCAAGTGGCGAGCAGGACACAGGGTCAGTAGCCGTTGACTGCCAGTTAGGTTAGTGTCCCCACGGTTTCAGAAGCGAAGCCACCGCCTCCTCCTGGAGGAGGCAGAGGACACTGCCGATGCCCAGAGAGCTTGAGCGTCATTGCCAAAGCCACACAGAGAGCTAAAGAGAGAGGCTGGAGGAGGAGAGAGGCTGGGTGAGGTGCAGAAGCATTCAGACACATAAATTAGGTCAGCCGCCGGGGGCCAGGAGCCCAGCACCCTGTGCCCTGCTAATCACGCTGCGAAAGCTAGAACAACATCAAGTGTAATTAATTCTCCCCCAGTCTCCTTCCCCTAATCAGCCAGACTGGGGCTCCACTGTCCTGGTGACCAGAGACAATGTGAACTGGGCTGGGAGCCCAGCATTCGGCTCTGACAGTCTTGGGTTCAAGTCGAGCTCTACTTATTTGCTGGGTGTCTCTGGGCAAGTTACGTAACGTCTCTGAGCCTATATTTGGCTAAACAGTGGCGATAATAATTTATGCCTCATAGGGCCGTTGCGAGGATCCAGTAAGTGCAGAAGGGGCATGCGGTGCCAGGTAGAGTGCTGGTGCCAGTTCATCTGCGGCTGGTCCCACGGCGTGCATTCCCATACCAGACCTCAATTTTTAAGTCTAAACTAGGCCTGAGAGATCCCAGTGCTCAGTTTCCTCTCTCAACAGATGCAGGGATGGGTGGGAGGGGAGGAGAGCAGATTAGCCTGACCAGCATCAGAGAGGGGGAGTGGCTTGTCTAAAGACCCACCGAGGTGATGGCTAGTTCCTGGACTGGAGGTCCCTGTGGGCTCCGTCCCCAAAGGCCCTCAGCCCTGTGAGAACTCAGCGCCTCTCATGCTCACCAGCTCCGCCAGGGAGACCCAGAGCCTCTCTGCAGGAATGTTGGTTGTGGCCAGGCCTGACAATGAGCGCATGGATACCTCAGTCCTGCCCCTTTCCACTCTTACTCCCCAGCTTCCCCTCCACCCACCCCACCCCCACAGCCAGAAAAAAAACGCCTCCGTGCCCCCTCCCCCACTGCCACCCTGCCTAGCACATCCCAGCCAGGAACTCCTCGGCAAAGAAAACCAAGATGGCAGCTGCGTCCCTCCCCTACTGTGTACCAGAGGATGGGGGCGGGGGCGTGTCAGCAAAAGCTCCCTCCATCACCTTCCCTAGCTCCCTGGTGTCCCCCAAATCTCTACCCTGCAGTGGTACTGACCCTCACCCCAGCCCAACAGTGACCAGGTTACATAAGTCTCTCTCCACTTCCAAACATGCTTCTCCTCCTCCCCCTTGGTAAAGTGATAGAGAGAGAGAGAGAGAGAGAGAGAGAGAGAATTAAATAAATAAATAAATCTCAGGTTACAAAGCCCAGGTCAGGACCTCTCTAAGTTGGACCTTCCTACCCTTTTAGAGTTGGGGCCTCAAGAACAGGAGCCCCAGGGCAGTAGGACAGAAGGGGAACGGAAAGCACTGTTCATTCCCAACGATGGGAACCATTAAATGAGTTAGTGTACATGGAATAGTATGTACCTGCCAACAGTTGTGTTTTCACACACCCGTGCTGCCTAACTGGGTCCCTAAAAGGTCTGAATATATCCCAGATTTTTGAAAACCACCAACTCCTTTTGGAAGAATATTCCAGCTTAAGAAAAAGTTGTCCACTAAAGGGACTGTTGGGTCCGTCTGCCCCTCAATGCCTGAGCGGCCCTGGATGGACACCAACTCTATCGCCCTGCCCTTCCAGATGAAACAAAGGCAGGATGGCTGCTCCGGGGCATCAGAAGGGAGGCTGGGCCTAGGACACGTTGGCACTTAATACTATCACCAGCAAGTTCCAAGGGGAGGCTACTAAACATGGAGTCCAGCCAGTCTAGCAGAGCCTGCCACAAAAGGGACATCCCTGCATTACATTCTGGAGAAGCCAAAGAGGCCAGCAGACTATCTGGGCCGTCTGTGGTTTCCCAGCGCTTTGCATCAGGCTTTAAGAGCTGTCCATCCTTGACCCCACACACACTTCCTAAGTAACCCCACAGCCTGCTGGTCAACGGCCTCCTCAGTCCTCTTCCTCTGTGGACACTGCCCCCCCCCACACACACAACAGGGACATACTATTGCAGCTGGCAGGCCTGGCTCCCCCACCCCCCGTCCATCACCCTGAGCATGCTGGCCCAAGACACAGGCACCCACCCAGGAATGGGGTGCAGGCAGCTGCTCCATGACACATACTGTCTCCTGGGGGTTTGGATGAAGGACAATGACCAGCCCTGGAGAGCCAGGAAACGCCTCATTCCAGGCTGAGGCAACCCCTACAGGCCCATCCATCCCAGCCACCTGCTCATGTATGTCCGTCACCCTTGAGACCACCCCCACCCATTGCTCCTTGATTCCCAGCCCTAAGTCATGTAAAGGAGGACCGCCATGGAGTCCTCAGTCCTCCAGCCTCTGCCTAGACTTTCTCCCAGATTCCCCAGCTCCTGTCCTCAGGCCTCCGTGGCCTTTGCTAGGCTTGCTGGACCATGTTGGGTCATAGGCTCTTCTCACTTCATTTACAGACGCTAAGGCCGCTGACCACCAGTGTGTCCCGACAGGACTTGAACCCATGACTGAATCCTGTGCCCAGAGAAGCCCTGAGCCTCCAGGAGTGCACACAGGCCCAGGGTAGCGGTACGATGCATCCCCTGGGCATTTTTCAGGAGGACACCTGTGTCATTCCATCCCTCGCTATGAGGAATGGTTAGTGCTCTGAGGGGGGGGCACTCCCCATGGGCCTGGTTCTTTGGCTGCATACAGCCTGGGTTCCCCTCACAAACACCTCGCTGGCGGGGCCTTATCCTCACTCCTCACTTGGGAGCCAGCGGTCAGAGAGATACAGCACGTGGCCTCGAGACTCACAGCAACAGGTGTAAGATACGACACCGAATCTGGCGGAGCCCCACAAGCTTCCTATGGAACAGTGGCAGCTCCCTGTCTGCAGCCTGCTGGCTTATCTGCCTCATTTGAGCTCACACACTAGGGCCCCAGGTCCCATCCTTCCTAAACCTGTCCCACGGGAGGAGGGCTGCTTCATTTCAGGGGACGAACGGTCCAGGCTCTGATGCTGTGAGCAGTGAAAGCCTCGGGAGCCACCATCCCCATGCCCGGGTAGAAACTGGCACATACAGGATTCATATAAGACACCAAGGGAGGTCTGACTGGCAGAGCTCTCAGAGCCTGCCTAGGACCACACTTGTTCCCAGCCACCCTCAGCATGATTCCTGGAAGACACATAGGTCATCCAAAGGAGCAGGGACTCAAGCTAGACCGAGCAAGGGCCAAACCCCAGCACTGGTTCTCTGCAGCTGTGCAACCCTGGACAGAAAGCCCACCTCTCTGAGCCGTGACTTCTTTGCTTTGCTTATGTAAGCTTAATAACAGCATTGTCAGGGGATCCGACACGGCGGCCCCAGGAAGGAACTCCCTTCTCAGCAAGCTGCCCACCTGGACTTCCACCTCCCACCTGCAGACCCTGGCGCAGGGTAGAAGGCCATAAGAAGGGAAGCACAGGACCCTGGGCACAGCAGGTGGCCAGTGGGCAGAGCCCTCCTCTCTTCACCTCACTCTCGGGCTGTGGGTCGTCTGTCTCCTTCAGCTGTGTACTTCCACGTGCTAGGCCCTTGAAACAGCCCCTCAAGGGACAAGGTCACCCTGGGCTTTGAACCTTGTCCACCGTACCATCCCATAGACACCTGAGGAATACAGGGTCCACTGTGCTCAGAGGTCAGGAACAACCAGCTGATGAAGCTGTGGGGGGGGGGGGGGGGAAGGAGAGCAATCTCAGACCCTGCCAGTGAGACATCAAACAGCGTGGCCACTTTCAAAAAGCAGCCCACAGTTCTCCAGAATTCGAAACACGGGGTACCTTTAGGACCCAGCAGTTCTGTTGCATTTTATTT